ACAGATCATGAATCAGCTCTCATTTCGATTGTGATGAACTGATTGAGCATGGGATTATCGTATCCAAAGATTTTAGTATTGCAAATTATATGTTACTATTCATATATCGATTTCATTCATGGAGCAGTACTTTAAGTTAGCAGGACATTTTAGTATCAAATGACAGTCTTTATTTCTAGCACTGATATCAGTTTATCTTATGTGATTTCAGGTTTGATATAGTTTTTAGTTTACAAAATTAACCTTGCGGCTGGAGATTGCACTTGGTGTCTTTTGTTTGATATAAACCTTTTTTCTTTTGGGGGGTTTAGGAGCAGCAACCATGCATATAACATGAGTTCCATTGAGCAAGTGCTCTGAAATGGGAACTTCTGAGAGTTTTAGGATTAAGTTTGTATCTTTTACATTCAAGAGAAAACTTATTTGCTGATTCTTTTCTTGCTAATGCATTTTAGGATGAAGTGCACTGGATATGTGCACACAAGAAAGTTACATACCATTGAGATTTATCCTTAAGGCATCAAAAGTTACAGTTAGCATGGATAAAGTTAAACTTTCAGCCTTGAAGTGCATCAAAGCTTGTTTGTATTTATCTCACATATAACTGTTGATGTGAATGGGACAGATAACTATTGTGATATAAGTCTGTAGGTGAAGACTGATTTGTTCTTAACTGCAACTATAGAGGACATTATTTGCTTGCTAATTGTAGCACTAAATCAATGCAGTTGACAGCATTGCAGTGATTCAAAACATTACAAAATATCAGTTTATATATCTACTCTAAAAGAATATAGTAACATCACTGTATTACCAATTTATTCATATAATATGCTTGCCATGCACTTCTCATAATTAAAGAAAATCAAGAAATTTTGTTTCACAAGGGCGATTGATGTTTAAATTTGTTAACTGATAACATATTTCATGTGTTAGATGGTAATGGGTGTAATAGGTAATGTTTTGTGCGCTAGTCTTTATCTTCAGCTTGTCCACAATAATACTTCTTTCTTTTTCTTGAACTTGACAGGAACTTGTGCACAGGCTCTTGAGGAGAGGATCAAATTTAACTGTAATGGTATAGTGATAATTTGCTTAGGAGGAGCATTCAGTTCTTTGCTGGACTACTATTAATATGTAATCTTCAGAGGAGAGGGGAGGGAATAGATCATCTACCTAAGGACAAATGCTCCATCGTGTTCTTTTAATATACATTTTTGTTGATGTTTAAGAAGAACTAATTCAATTTATCTTAGGCTCTCGTATCTTCAAAGCACTTCAATGTTTAACCTGTAACATTCTCACTCCCTAATATTATTTTTGACTATTCCTTCTATGCACTATATCTGATTAGACAAACAAGTGTTTCACTTTGAAACTGTGATTTATTTATTTATTTATTTATTTTTGCAGATTCTGCACGAGATTGTTGAAATCAAATCCTTATTGACAACAAATCAGTCTTCACATGGATGATAGTCACAAAAGGTCTGCTGGAGGATTTGGTTTCTCCAAAAGAGGTTCCAGCCTTTCTTTCAGAGAACCAATCCATGAGAACAAAAATATCCAGTACTGCAGTAGATTGGGATGTAGCACTCGACTTAACTCCATGAAAGCCCCTGAACTTAGTACCCCAGAAAAACCCAAGTACCAAAGGACTTCTTTCCGTTCTATGAGCAACAAGTCCATTGCTGGAAGCTCCTCCAAGCCATTTTCTGGCTCCACTGAATTTAGGAAGCCTCTCAAGTCTCGACCAAATCACGCATCTCCACGAGATACAATTGAAACCAGCAGCAGCAGGCATAGGGTGACTGAAGAAATTGAGTCTAATGGGGAGACAGAGGGTTCAGAATTTAACCAGAGTATTACAGGAATTCAAACAGTTTTGCCTGAATCAGAAGATATTAAATCACAGACTGCTCAAGGGTCGTCTAGTTCTAGGCTGCAGAAGCAAATTAATACTGAAAATCCATCATCATCATCACCTATTCGGCATCCTATTGCAAATAAAAACAAAGGACAAGTTATTAGACCATCCTCACAATATTTGGGATCTGGGCCACCTAGATATGGTCTCAAGAATCTCGGTTGCTCATCAATCTCGGATGTTCTCCCTTCTAGGTGTTCTTCCTCTGATAGTGGACAGAGTAGAAGAGTTTCGTCAGTGAGGAAGAGACCCTCTGATGGTGAGAGCGCGTCATCCAGAGGCAAGAGTTCAAGTGAGTCCTCAAGCAGTGGTCTCTCTGCTACAAATAGATCTTTAATGCCTCAACAAAATTCAAGAAGGGCTAGAAATCGGGGTTTAAGTAGGGATGGCCCGGTCTCAGTTAGAACCCGGAGAGCTTCTGGTGGGCAACAAAGGGAGAATGTTATTTCGGTATCAGAGCCTCCTGTGTACCCTCAACTTCCTCATACCCAAATAACAATCAATGAAGTTGTTCCTGAGAGTTCATCAAGGTCTTTCCCTGTAGAACCTCATCCAATCTTTCGTAGCTCGTTCGGTGGGCGACCAAGCTCTAGTTGGCAGAGTTCTAGAAGTAGATTGGTTAATCCTCGTCCTGAAGATACTAGTATTCATGCGACTTTAGGAGATAGAGATGGATATCGAGGCTTCAATATGGACGGGATTGCAGAGGTTGGTCTTTTTATACATTTTATGTCTTGATTTGAATTTATTTCAAGTCTAGTTTTAGTATTTGAAGGTGGGTTCGTTTTTGAACAGGTATTATTGGCATTGGAGAGGATCGAACAGGACGATGAGTTAACATATGAGGTGTTCATCTTACTTGGGTATTACCCACTTGCTATTTTCACTTGTTAACTGAGACAGCTGATATTATTATTATTTTTAATTCTGCAGCAATTAATGGTGCTAGAGACAAATTTATTCTTGGGAGGGTTCAGCTTCCATGATCAACACAGAGACATGAGATTGGACATAGATAATATGTCATATGAGGTATGACCTTGCACTGGTATAATGACCATAGCTTGCTGCTTCATTTATTTTTCTTCCAGTGAAATCCCTCGCTCTTCTCATAATATTGGTACTTAAATATATCCATGAAGTTTTTTATTTACTATATGTCACATCCAAGAATCCCCTCATTATTCTTCTCTTTTGCCAGAGGACTTAGAAAAGGCACCTTTCAACCAATTTCAATTTATGGTTATTCTTTTTCATCGTAATTTTCAAGTTTCAATCTCAAAACTTGAAATTTATCGGAGTTCTTGTTTTTGGTTTTAATTTTTTTTTCTGTATTCATGTTTCTGTAACTTTTGAGCTTCTGTGTGTGAACTATATGCTTTTTTTGAACAGGATCTATTAGCCTTGGAAGAGAAAATGGGTACTGTGAGCACAGCCCTTTCGGAAGAGGCATTGGCAAAATGCCTAAAGAGAAGCAGTTATGTGCCAGCCTGCCAAGTGCCCGGGGTCAGTACTCATGGGGAGGATGATGTTAAATGTAGTATATGTCAGGTATGACTATTCCATTTGTATGAAAAAGTTATATTTTGAAATAAATCAATTTATATCAATCACTTGATTGTTTTAGAGAGTATACTACTCAAGTTTTCCCCTCAAGTTTGCACTTGTTACAAAGTGAACACATTGGTGTAAAAACTTCCCCCATCACCTCAAAGAACTAGTGCAGTAACAAAAGAAAAATAATGGTTAACCAAAAAAAAATGCAGTTCCTGAAAACTTGCAAAATTTGCATGTGATCACAATTGAACTGAACTCATGTACCTAACACCACAATGGTTAACTGATATCACTGATTCAATATTAATATTTTAGTTTTGGTTAAATATGATGCATTCCACATCTGAACAAAAAATGGAAATAAGAAGTTAAATGAACATTGATTTAGGTTTTTTTTGTAGTATCCTATTAGCTACATGCATTAATTTTGTGGTAGTAACTTGGAGGATCTTTGCAAATTGACAAATAAGGCAAGGAAGCATTTTTCAAAGTTACTAATTGCCAACTGAAGAATGTAAGATTGACTCGGATTCATTTCCCGACTTATCCTATTTGTATGGGAAAAGGTCCTGGATCTTCACCTTCCTCTCATAGTCAAGAAGTTCATGTTTGGTTGAATCTTATCTTTTCTCTCTCCCTTTTTTTTTAGGACGTAAATGGGATTAAAATGTAAAAAATATTACACATGTCATGATAGATCTCCCTTTTGAATTTAGGGAAAACTGAGGAGGAAATTTAGTTAATTCATTGCTTTCCTGTGTTAAGCTTTCGAGAAATTGGGAAATGGTCATTCATTATATCATATACTAAACAAAGAATAAAGCAGTAACATCCAAGGGACACCAGGCAACTTGAAATAACAAAATTGAACTTGCAAAACAAAAACTAGAAACGCTACTTCCTCTCATTGTATAAATCAGAAGCTTCCTTAGACTGTACTTATTAGGATTGTGTCTTTGATTCTTTGTAGAACTTCATGAGAATTAGATAGGGTTAGAGATCTATCATGATTACGAGTTTGGGTTCCACCATAATTAGGAGTTTGAATCATATTCTAATTAGAAAGTTAGGCTAGAGATAAGGCTTTGGTTTCCCTATATATATATATTTTTATTGTTAGAGGAAAAACTAAGGAGAAGAGAGTAGAGAGAAGATGTAGTAGAAAGAGAGAGCCAATATTCTTGTAATCTAGGGTTAGCAGAGGACGTAGCCTGATTCAAGAATATTGTGCGAGAGACGAGGGTTTCGTGATCTTTATCCGTACAAAAGATTACAATGAGTGAGCTTTGGAGAGAATATGAGAGTTGATTATGTATGTGAGGTTGAGAGATTAAAAGACGGGAGTTGAGTGGTTCCTCTTGTAGTTCTCCCTGATAGGGGTGGAAGTGAACCAAATATTTAATAAACAGTTCGGCTAATATTCGTCCAAATATTCGGTCATATTCGATCCGACAGTTCATTTAATACTAAATGAATATTTTTCAGTAATCGGTTTATAAACGAATAGAATTTAACTAAAGGTATATTCAATTCAGCTGATTATTAACTATTCGATAACTTTTTATATGTAAATCCTATTAATTAAACGTATTGTAAATATTACCCGTCAAAATTTTTATTATAACTTCTACCCGTATATAAATAGACATGTTTAAGGGACCTAGGGTTTCACATGTCCTTTGGATCATCAATGAACGGTTCAGATTTATTCCCAACAAATGACCCAATATAAGTAGCTTTAACTCCCCAAGTGACCCATCTCATAAACCCTAGATCTCATCTGAGACAGCCGAAGTCCCCATCTCTCGACGACGACGCCCAAGTCCCCATCTCATAAACCGTAGATCTGAGGCAGCAGAACTCCCAAGTCCTCCCTACCCGCGACGACGCCCTCCCTACCCGTGACGATGCCCTCTCCAACGACATGTGCTCCTCCCTCTTCGACGCCCTCCTCCCCGCGACGACACTCTCCTCCCCGCGACGACACCCTCCTCAAAAGCCAACGACCTCCTCCCTCTCCAACGATGCCCCGTCTCTCCCCGTGACGACGTCCTCCTCCCTCTCCGACGACGCCCTCGTCCCTCTCCGCGACAACGCCCACTTCCCTCGATCTCTGTAGATCTTGGAGATTTGTGTCGTGATTCTCTGCTTTTTCTCACTGGAAAGGTAAAAAACTTTTGGAAAAACTATTTCCAGCAAATTATTTCCCCATTTATTCTCTGCTTCCCTCGATCTCTTATTTCCCTGTTTATTTTCACGATTAAATAGTGTTAATTGAATGTTCGTGAATAGTTACCGAACACGAGCACAACTAAACAAAGCAAGTTCGAAGTCTAAATAGTATTCGAGTCGAATTCGAACACGAATAGTACTAATTGAGCCGAATTTGAATTCGAATAAGGCACTGTTTGTTTAAATTCGCTTCGTTTCCACCCCTACTCCCTGATACATAGTGAATTTCTCGTATTGTTGCCCCGTGGAGGTAGGTTGAAGTTGGTCGACCGAACCACGTAAATCTCGGTGTTTTTTTTTTCTTGATTGTGATCGTTTTATATCTTGTCGATTGTGGGTTGGCTTTGGAGTTGCGCATATTGTAGTAGGTGGGGAGAGTGAAATTCCCCAACAATACTCACATGCCAGTGATGGTCAGCTTCAAACGTTCAACAAAAAATTGTGAGGTTTTGAAAAAAATTTTACTGATCTAGGTCATTCTAACTCTGTTTGTTTTATTTTGATTTTCAGGAAGACTACGTCATTGGAGATGAAGTGGGGAAATTGGCATGTGATCACCGATACCATGTGGAATGCATCAGTCAATGGCTCAGGCAGAAGAACTGGTGCCCTATCTGCAAGTCATCAGCTACATCATCTCATGCCCCCGAAGAATCAAAAGAAAAGGATTGAAGTTCGCTCAGATGAAGATTGTGGCTCTTTTTTGTTTTCCTTTTCATGTGTACATAAAATCTTTCATGTTCCCCTCTCATGAAATAAACCACGTGATGCAGGACTCGTATGTGTATAAAACATTCTTTGAAACCCATCAATCAAACGTTTGAATCTCCGAGGATAATGTCTAATTTTTGTTTATCTTGGCTATGGTATTGGCTTCCTATGCAGCATGTCATGTCTTAACTCATGCCGCGGGCGTCCACTAATTATCAACGACTGAAAACGTCCGTCAATATTGAAGAAAAGCTTCAAGTGAAAAATCACTCCATTTTCATGCTTTGGACTCCAAGCAAAAAGCAGCAAGGTTGCATAAGAATACACTATTCATAATCTTAAGTGCTATTTCCTTGATTATTCAACTCGCATAAACCACTTAATTCGACATTTATAAAGTAGTTAGTATTTCCATAGCAATAGTTTATTGAAAATGCCTCGATTCGTCCATTTTTAACTATGAAAAGCAATCAATGAGTAGTAATCTAGAGTTTTGCGCAGATCAGCCCGACTCGTCCATCTCCAGGAAGGTTGAGAATCAGTCAGACGACTTCAGTTGCAAATGAAATTTATGATGCACACAAGTGAAGGTGAACTCGAAAAAGAAACTTGGATACGAGCATATGAGTATTTATAAAAATGGGCATAAGAATTTAAGAATACGCCTGTTACTAAGGCCCATCGTCTTATTGTTCCTGGAAATGCCTGCATCAAAAGCACATGCACCTTCTCTCCTTGTTATACCTTTGATTGAAGCTTTCACCCTCTCCGATGAGTTTACCTGCAGTGTATGAACTTGAAGAGTTTTACTCAAAATAAATTTGTACTCCTTCCAGATAAACTAGATGAAAAAATAGAATAGGAAAGTGAAAGCAGGTTCTCAGAAAACAGAAAAAAGAAACATTTAACTTGAAATTAGAAAGAAATATCCATGGGATAAAAAGCGACTCCCTTATCCTAATGTTGGCGAAGGCATGCCCATTTTGAAGTAAGCGCTAAATAAAATATCCAACCAGAAATTGATAAATGATCAAAGTAAGTAAAGTTCAAGGTACTGGGACCAGGATGGAATAAAATGAAATGCCTTTCTGTTGTAGTCTCCAGAAAACATACTTTCTCACTTTATAGCATTAGAAACTTCCATCTTGAGGCTTAGGGAAGCTGCGCATGTATTGGCCCCCAACAAACACTTCTTGACAAATCTTTGATTTTCAGAATTTACTGAGTCATTAAGCTGCCTATCCTCCAATAATTGGATACTTGACCGGTCGACGTCAGTTCAGAAATCACCTGACGTAGGTACCTGTAGTAAAGAATGAACAGAAAGAATATATATATACATATATACATATATATATATATATACATATATATATATATATACATATCAGTAAACAAGTGAGAAATATACAAAATTTGTATCATTTGCACTACAGTCGGATCAGTTTGTCAGAACGCATAATAAGTGATTGAATAGAAAGAACGGAGATGAAAAGAATATATTACGAAGCCGGTGACAAACTAATGAAACACATAAAACAAAGGTAAGTACCTAGAGCAAGAAAAGTTAATTAAGAGAACTCCCTATATATATCAAGCTAAGACCCAATTCAGCAGCGACAAAGCTATTAAAATCGGTCGAGGTTGCACAAACAGCTTTATCTCCTTTCGTTGGGGAAAAAACAAATAAAATAAAATAAAATCGAACAGTAACATCGAAAGCATCACAGCGAAGTGCACTTTCTCTGTATTAGCTAAAGCTTAATGAAATCTCTAGATCGATAACATATCTAGAGTTGCCATCAAACCATCATGGAGTTAAAGACTCAATTCAATCTAATACTAGCTTAGAACAAACAGCCATGCGCACGTTATACTCCTAACTCCAGCACACGATTCTCCAATTTTTCAAGAAAACATTCAGCTGCTTTCAAAACCAGTCTGATCTACGTGGACTTTCTAGAGGGTAAGATGCATAAAGTTTCAATGGCCTTTTAAAGAAATAAGCATAAACAGAATACTGTAACACAAAAAGATAGGCGAAGAGAGAGCGGACGCTTTTAGCTTGTTTCTGACCGGCTTCATCTCCTGTGCTGTTACCTTCTCTTGTTTCTCGACTCTCATGACTAAGAAAACGGCAAAATTTGACAACTCTTCAAATATTTGGCCAGTTGAAACCAAATCTGAGAGTAAAACTTACAAACGGTGTTCTTCCTTTAAACTGAAATGTAATGTATGGATACGTACTTGAAACATATACGACAAACCTATAAATACACATACTCAAAATGGCATATAGCTAACATGTTTATATTACATTAATTGATAGAACCAAGTGGCAGCATGCGGAACTGGGGTTTAAGCGGATAAAAACTGATTTCGAAACTTGTATCATCTAATTAACAATCATACCCACTATGAAAGCTAATAATGGCATGGAATTGTTCCATGCAATAAGTAATAGGTATTAGTATTTAGATATTTGGGTAATTGGGCCAATATCCATATTCGTTTATCTAACCCTCTTAATCTCTATTTAAGAGAAGTTAAGATTAGATGAATAAATAGCTTTGCCTTCTCTATTTTCTCTACATAGTATCAGAACTGACATCTCGATTCTAAAGAACTTCTCTTTCACGATCTTGGGGCTGCCGAAGGGGTTTTGCCGCAAGCATAGCCTCCATGCTTCCCTTGGCAGCTTCAGCAACCTCAATCAAAACCCTACCATTTAGAGAGAGAAAAAACCCTTAAAAATACCGCTACTGTTCATCATGGTGCTATTTGTGATGAACAGTAGTCTTGACACTGTTTATTGCGAACAGTGCAACTCTTGCATCTTTCACTGATTGCTTTCAACAACTTGAGATCCGATCCGAATCAGATCTACATCATTGGGTTTATAGTGCACCTACATTAAATATGCACAACATCGCATCAAATCTATCTTCGACCAAGCCTTCAAGAACTTTTTAGCCCGTTCCTTGTATAGATCAATCCAAAATCTGTCTAGTCTGTGCCTTTTATAGATTGGGCATCACTTCAATCACTCAAGCACAAATCTGTTAGCCCTTATGTTTTGATGATGTTTTACAACCACCATTATCGGTACTAATGGCTTATTGAGTGCAAATGTAGTAAATTCATTTATCAAGCTCGTTAGTGCCATGTATGGAGGATGGATGGAATATATGCTACAACGATGATATCCAAAGGAGGATGAGGCATAATGATGAAGCAATGTTAATTCAAGAACAACAAATTCATAAAGAAGCTTCATCAAACTTAAAGCTATCAAGACTCAAGAACTGTATTCTATGTGAGGACATTAGCTAGTTTTTATTCTCTCTAGTGCTAGAATGTAGGCAAAGAGTTACTGATTTTTCTTGAAGCTATTAGGAATCACACACACGTTTTCATACTTATGTTTTTAAGCGTTTTTCACAAAATACTATTTATCACAAGTATGAGGACCTATCTGCAAAAAAAAATTTCCAAACAGTTTGCTTTTAGTATTAAAAACATTTTACAAAGTTTCATAATTTTCAGAGGTCAAATAAATATTTTGCAAATATTTTAAGTTGGGTCAAAAATTAGTTTCTGCAATGTATCAGAAAGCGGTCGACCGGGCCGGTCGACCGCTCCTATGATCATTCGTCATTGGTTTCCAGAGAGGTCGTCGGTCGACCGGTGCGGTCGACCGAAATCTCGATTTTTCTATCGGTCGACCGATGATGGCTCTGCTTGTTTTCTATGTTTTCAAAGCAAATCGCGGTCGACCGGATTTTTGGTCGGTCGACCGAATTATTTATTTCGGTCGACCGAACGTTTTGACGGACGACCGAAATTCCCTTCGGTCAACCGCGACTTTTTTCAAATGATCGATTGCCTCGTTTGCTGTGCTTACACTTAACCGTGTTTCGCATAGTCTGTGGTAATGGTCTGAAAAGGAGATTATTTTCTTAAATGGGAAGATTGGGTTATGTTTTTAAATTGATTAATATCTTCTATTTAAACCCTAGACTTCTTCTTCTTCCAGCTGCCCCAACGTTTTGCAAAAACCAGAGAGACTGCTGTCTTCCTGAGAAAATTTTCAAATCTGTTTTCTCTGTGGTTTTTGTGTGTGATTCACTTCCCAGCTTCAGTAATCTTTCTCTTTGCCATAGGGGCTGTGTAAAGAGAGAGTCTTGCATCTTTTCTTCTGCTGTGTGAGTGAGATCTTGTGTAGATCAACTGTGAGGGAGTGTGATCTGTTGAGATCAAACTGTATAGTGAGAGATCGTGTGGGATCACTGTGTGGACGAAGTTCCGGCTTCCAAACCGGGTGTGTAGTGGATTTCTCCTCGAGAGTGGGGAGCGGGGACGTAGGCCAGAGGGCCGAACCTCGTTAACACATCGCGCGTCAAGGATAACGAACTCCTAACCTTATCTCTCTTACTTTTATCGCATTTCTGTTTTGTGGTTTGCTTGTGCTGTTTTTTAATTGCATATTAGAGCCTCTTGACCCTAATCACCCCCCCTCTAGGGTCCTTCAATTGGTATCAGAGCTTGGTCTCTATATCAGTTTTTGGTTTAACAACCTTAGAGAAAAGATCTAATGGAGGCCTCTTTGAATATGCATATGTTGGAAGGACAATCCACCACTAGACCACCTCTCTTCACAGGGAGTAATTTTGCTTATTGGAAGGCTAGGATGAGAATCTACCTCCGTTGTATTGATCTTGACATCCTAGAGCTCATAGAGAAGAAATATGTAGAGAAGTCTAAAGTCGGGAGTATGACCGATGGAGAAAGGCACCAAGCCAATCTCAATGCCAATGCTATGAACGCCTTAATCTGTGGTCTTTTCCCCAATGAATACAATAGAGTTTCCACGTGTGCAACCGCATACGAAATTTGGCAAAAATTATGTATCACACATGAAGGAACACTCCAAGTTAAGGAATCTAAGATTAGTGGACTTATGCATGATTATAAGCTATTTAAAATGCTTCCAAATGAATCCATTGATGCTATGTTTTCCCGTTTTACTAATATCATCAATGAATTACATGGTCTAGATAAGCAATTATCCATTCAAGAGATGAACTACAAGATACTTCGCTCATTGACTCCGGCATGGGAGCCCAA